TTTTGCAGGAACCTCAAAACATCTTGGCCAGCGATCATCGCCGATCTCCCATACAACACCTATTTGGCCACCCACCTCTGATTGCCACCCCTGGCTGAAAATGCACCCCTCAAGCTGAGTCATTTTAGTTGCTTCTCCTCTTGGTTTCCAAGCTTTCAATCAACCCTGGAATCATTGGCAATTCATTGGTTCGAGCCAATGGTACTTGGTTGCGGGTCAAACAACTAACATGTGAAAACAGGAGGTCGAACAAACTCTTACAGCAACTTAAGGACACACCACTCATGCCCAGGGTAAAGCCATATCTACAGGTGCGGTGTTTGCGCACATTTCATGACCAAATGGGAACAGCACTTCCCTTATGGCGACAGCCGCGAAAAATTCATCGGATTTCAAATGTTGCAATTGTCATATCCAAATGCATGTTCAAACTCGGATTTGTCAACAGTTGCCAGGTTACTTCTTAAAAGAAGAACAAAAAATAGAATGCAATTCGGCCACGACCTCTGATTGCTTTTTGAAGGCTCCTCAAATGACAATTTTGACCTACATAAATCTCTTCTTGCTTTTTGAGAGCCCTTGGCTATTGATGGCAATTGCATTTTCACAGCCCATGACAAGGTTGCCTTGTTGAAGAGCTTTTTCATCACCATTGCTGAGGCAATTTGGCCAATTGCATTTTCACAGCCCCAAGACAGCCAGCCAATCTTCTCATTGCTAGCCGCTACTAGTCTCTTGGCCGATTGAAATGCCAATATATATATATATGCATGTGTATGCAAATTTCAACATGCAAGTGGTTCTTGTTACCTCCCCATCAAGAAGTCAATTGTTTTTTTTGGTGCCCCATCTGAAGTGCTTCTCGCCACCTGCCTGTGGCATACTCGAAGGTGATGGAATCCACCACTTTCGCCATGTAGCGACGGCGCTGCTCCCACCAGGTCAACTTGGCTTTGCTTTCCTGCAACTTGCGGGTGCGTCAAGCGAAGCATCAAACAGCAGGCGGGCAAATATGTATATATAGTGTGCTAAGCTCTGTAGACCATGGGAGGCTCTCAAAATGTTTTTGCAGGTGCTCATGCAAATCAAAAAGTAAAGAACAGATCCGAGATGAGCGACGCCCGACTGAGAAAGGGACATCAACCTCACATCTATGTTCAGGGAATCGCGGCTTCTTGATCTATGGATTCTCCAAACAGGTATCAGGTCGCGCGTTTTGGTTTCAGAGATGTGAGGAGCTGTTTCGAAAACCAACCAAAACAAGCTATAGACGCATCCTCCATGGCCAAGGTTCAGAGGGTGCAAAGTCCACCCAAACATCCTCCAGAATCTTCGGCATCCCTCCGACCTCACGACTCCGACTCTCCGGCCGACAACCCGGACGCAAAAAACCATCTGAACGTGGTGACGTTGGACCCATCCGCCCCGACCTGGAAGAAAGGGATCCGAAATGAACAGTTCTAAGATGTTCCAAGAGAGTCCGACTGAGATGTCGTTGGTTTCTGGACCTCACCTCAAGTGTTGATGTGATTTCTTGTGCGACTTCCTTCTGCCAGCTCATTGGTCGTTCATCTCTCCATTCGGCCGTTGATCGCTACACTGGACGGTTCAAGATCTGACGCACTCAGGTCATACACATCAACGCCCATCAACAAAAATATATACATCCAATATAGTATACATCCAGCAATATCCAGCACATCTATAAGTGTCCCTGCAGTTTGTCACAAATCAAGCTCACCATGCTTCCCATCACTCATCCTGACTCTATCTAAGAATCCAAACTCCGCCCGGGCGCCATAGATTGCCTCAAGCTTTTCAGCCTCGAGCGCGTGCTCTGCCGGCTGCCAGCCGTCTCCTCCTCGGTCGACTCCTCCGACAGCATGGCGACGCTTCCGTCGGAAGCGGATCTGCTCCTGGCCGCACCAGCGACCCCGGTGGCATGACAGAAGCCACAGGATGCACCAGGTCCGACAGGTCCGACTCCAACAGTGGCGCCCATGTTGGATGCTCTCAGACTGGTATCGGTGGAACCTCCCTGAGAGGAGGGGTCGGTTTTCTCACATGGTCCAAAACATGGAGGCTAAATGTTTGTCCTGCAGTCATTCCAGTGGATTTAAATGCATGTATTAAAAGTCCATCCCCGATGCTCAACACCCAGGATCTTTCAGGCTATAACAGGGTTTGTGGTCAGTCTGACAACCAAATCCATCAGTGTACAAATGCATACAAAGGCATGATCTTGACTATGATCTTGGCTGGTCTATATTTGCGGGGTAGAAATGGGAAACGATTCTCCCCACATCTCCTACGCCAATGCCCAGTTTGGGGACCACGTCCTCACACCACTTTTTCCAATCCAAGTATATAAACAAGCAATAATAATGAACGATCAAAAACCAGGAGCGATGCAACAGCTAAGGGCCTGTGAGGAAACGTCACACAAGGCGCTTTCGAACGACAGGATGCTTAGGATTATGAGGGGGCTATAACATGCGGTATCACAAAAGGACCCCCCCCAAGCACCTTCACTAGGGCCCCGATTTCGGGGTGGTTCAAGGAGAATGTCCTTCAGATGCCTTAAGACTGCAGGGCGATTCTGAAAGACCCCTACCAAACACCAGGAGCTCCGCCCCGACCTCCAGCAGACCGCAACCCCCGATTCCGACACCCTCAGGCTCCTCGGATCGGAGCTCGGCTCCGCGCCCGCCGGCGCACGCGCTGCGGTCAACTGGGCGTGGCGGCGTGGGTTCTTCGGCCCCCCAGCGGTTGGAAGAGAACGTGTGGGGCAGCGGTCTTCAGCTTTTTGGCCCCTTGTCTCTGATGCAAAACTGCGAGGGTCAGGACATTGACAGAAAGTAAATAGTTATACATAAAACTTCAACATGTACACTCCGAACTAAAATAGAATGGCCCCTGGGAAGGCCATTTTCCTCTACAAACAGTGTTTTTCCACTTCCATGCTAGTTTGGCCTCTTGGGATTTGCAGCGAGCGGCATCGCCATTGAACCGCGACACGTGCTCCACGGTTCTTAGCAACTCCTCAACAGCTGCTTGCCAGTCGCGGTGCTGCTGCTTCAGCACGTCCATCCGTGCCAAAGATTCCTTATATGAGATGCCCATTCAATCTATTTCCATGTGCCGTAGACGGATGGTCTGGGATTTCTGGTATTTTGTGCACATGTCGATGTAAGATCATGCAAGTATACAGGGAGAAAATGACGCAGAATTGGCCGGACGTACATCCAAATTCATGTGCCAATACCGTGTGGGTTTGCGGTAAGTACAACTGTATTTCATTAGGCGAGAAGCACCAAAACACAACAAAACAAGAGGCGCCGGATTGAACATGGATTTTGCGTAGAAAAGAATGATGACCTAAGACTCTAAGACTTGCCGCCGCCTAAACAATGGAGACACAAATTAATGGCTTCCCATGGCATGTTCTCTTTCATTAGCTCTATTCTTCCAGGAGCACAGCCCACAAAAAAAGTATGTCATCTCAACCCACTTGTCCTAGGTCATCTAACCCCAGTCTAAATGTGTGCATTTTACCAGGGAGATCCCCAACCAATGGGTTTTAGTCGATTGTGCTTCTTCCAAGGGGTCTCCCTATGTTTAATACTCGCCCGAGTGTTCCATCCAGAGTCTTCGGCACCTGCCTTAGAACCCGGGACACGCCGAACGCGGTGTTCAGAACACTAGCTTGGGGTTCCTGGTTGCAGTAGCTTCTAGGCAAAGGATTTGGTACGAGTAGTGACTATCTAGGATTCCTTCTTCTGTGAAACAGGAAGGGGCCACAGGTTCCTGTGGCGCTTTGACAAAGTATGCTTCCATCACCATGACATGTAGAAGGAGGATCCAGCCAGCGCCTTCATGATGCCCCTCGACCGTCCCAAGACAAGTTCCTAAAAACTTGGAATCCTTCTGCGCGGGCTGGCAAAGAGGAGTAGCCCAGGGGCATAGCCCAATAAGAGAATTGGCACTGCAACAGTCAGCTCATCTTTCATCTATATCTAGTGAAAGCCTACCGACGATGGAATTTCTCTGTTCTGCTGGGCCGGGCGTCACGCTGCTGTTTCTGGACTTCCTGCAGTGCCACCTCAAAGGAGGCCATGAGGCGGAGACCTTCTGGCGGACGCAGCTCGAGCGGAGCTCCGCGAGCTGCGCTCGGCGAGCTGCGCTCCGCCGCGGGGCTCGGCGGATCTCCCGGAGCGGCGGAGCTCGCGGCGGCGGCGATGCAAGGTGCGGATGACATGCCCGATGACAGCGCCACGGTTTGGGTTCGCTGGTTTCCGCATCCAAGAGGACAATGAAGGTACATCCACAGCAATGGCCCCGGTGGTTTTCTGGTGGGCAAGATGATTTGACGACCAGCTCACCCATTGGTTGGGTAGGTTGGGGCAACTTGGAGACAGCCTTTGTGGCCATTGAGGCCCTGTGCCGCGCCTGATAAGCACAAAAATGTATCTATATCTATATCAAAATATACAATATAACTAGTAGGCAAGGGAACCAAGGATGACTATGAAGCTCCAGCATGCGCCCAAGGATTGTTCATCCAAGTTCAATGTCCAAGTCTTAGAAACCTCATTCTCGTCCCGTCTTCAATTGGCTTCAATACTACAACTTCAACCAACGATAGATAACGGAGTTTTTCCCGTCTCTGACGCTTGTGGTGGAAAAGAACTGGGAGTCAAAGACTCGAAAAAGAATGGATAAGAATAGGTTTGAGGGGACCTGAAAGGGAACTTCCTTTACTTCAGCCGGTCAACATAAGCTCAGCTGATCCCATCTGCCTTCCTGGAAGGTCCCTTCATGTCCCACTTCTACTGTTGTGACAGGAGGGCTCCAACCAATCAAAATCAGCAATTCGTATGGATGTATCTGGACAGCTCGCCAAGAGTTGGAGACAAACCTTCTGAGATCTTCTGGACCGCTCCTTCTGAGCATCTTCCCTCCGCGACCCAGTGAGAAAAAAGAAACAAACCTGCCGCCTTTTCGTCCGACCCCCTCCGCCGATTCTGTTCGCATGAACGTGTTTGTCGACCCAAGACAACGGCTCGCCCAGCTTTGCAAGGCACCGTGCCAAGTGCCAAAACAGCTCCCTTAGAAGGAGTCATGGGCAAGAGCATTTCCATCCAGTCGGCTCTGTCGAGTCAGGGGCGCCCATTGGTGAAACTCGCGGATGGCCTGCAGGTCCTTTGACATCTGAATGGCCTGGAGGGGCAGGTCCAATGCAAACACCATATCGAAGCAGCCTCGTTGACTGCCTCGTTAGCTAGCCACTCAGGCCATTGTTATGGACCTTGCAAACTCCATATCGACTGTTCTACCCACTTCTCAAGCAGCCAATATGTTAGCTAGCCCAAAAAGCGTGAACAGTTTTGGAGTAGTAGTCTGTGGTAAGACAGCTTTGCTCGGTTCATCATTCCTAAATATCCGTGCTCCAAACAAAACATGGAAGGAGATAATACCATCCAACTAGGACTTTGCCAGCGATTAGCCCCCATGCCAAGATATATCTGACCACTCCACAGAGTGCAAGCCATGTTGGATCCCAAAACATGGATCCCTACGTCCTCCTCTAGAACCGCATGAAACATATATAAAGTTTAAACACCGCCCCCGCGAGGTGTTCAGGAGCTTCTCGTTTTCCACCTCCCCGTCGCCCCGTTTTCCACCTGTTTGCGCATTGGCATCAGGAGCTTCTGCAGTTGGATCGCCCAAAGCGGCACCTCCAACCTCGGTCGGTGCCGGTGCCGGGTCGGCGAGCATATGTCGAGCATATGCTCGACCGTGACACCGGTAGGTGGTCCTCCAAAAAATGGAGGGCATGCACTATGCACTTAAGGTACATGGGGGGACACCTGGAGACACACGGAACACTGTTTATGATAATTCTGCTCAATGCACATGAAAAATGAACTATATGTAAAGGCACATAAAGGCCAACGCAACAGTGGGAACGACGCAAAAGAAATGAAACACATACACCTTTGGAATCCTTTGGAGGAATCGCTTCCTCATGGTGGGTGCTAGGGTGGTTCGGGAATGATGCTCCGGCTTGGACCTTTGTGGCTTCATCTTCTGGTTGTTCCGCGGTCCGAGCCCTGGTTCGAGCCCTGGTTCCACATGCAAACTGCAAACACAACAATAACAGGAGCACCCAATCCACTGCCAAGAGGCAAGAGCAAACTGAGCAGCCCCTCCTTGGATCGAGGTCGATTCTCGGGCGCGTTCTCGTGGCGAGCGCGTGGCTGTGGCGGACCGGGCAAGTTCTCAGTCGTCCCCCACCCTGCAAATAAAGGAGGAAGAAGAGGCGGATCTGTGTTCCTACCAAACTTGAGCCAGGCCCGCCTAGGCCCGGCCCCCTTGAGGGCATATCCCATTATACCTAGACCGAGCCTAGACCTTGCAACTATTCCAACATATGAAACAATATGAATGTTAGTTGCTTTTATAGATGAAAGGCAAACATTTTGCATAGTTGGATGGGTATAGATGATTTCGTGCCCCCAAAGTTCGGGTCTGTCCAACTTGCTGTGCTCTCCTCGCCATTCCTCTCTCTTTTCCAAATGGTTCCCTGTCCGCAAAAGACTCCGAGATGTTTCCAGCCTAGCCTTTGACCATTAAAAAGATTGCTATTGACCCTGGTGCCGTGTCATGTAAAAATCCTGGAGTACGGAGCCGGTCCGAGGTACCAAGAATTCGGTCTGGCTCAAGGATCCGCCGCCGTCCACATCCAACCTGGGAAACCAGGTGCCGCAGCTGCCGCAGACGTCCGGGGGAGGCTGATTGGTAGACTCTGGATGAAAGATTAATCCTTCATCATTCAGAACATGAAAATAGTCGTACAAGCCAAGTGAAATGATTGAAAAAAAAGCCAAGACTAAAGAGTCTACGCCTGCTGTGTCTCAAAAAATGGGCGTGAGGGGGCAATGGATGAAACGCAGGGAGGAGAATGAAGGAGCCACGAGGGGGCAATGGATACAACACAGGGGGGAATGAAGGGGGCACGAGGGGGCAATGGATGAAATATATAAGGGGCGAATGAAGGGGGCACGAGGGGGCAATGAATGAAACACTTGAGAGAGGAGGGGGGTGAACGAAAGGTAGCAGGGAATCAGGCGTAATCCGGGAGGAGGTGAGAGGCCCCCCACTTGTTTGAAGAGAAGTGACTGAGCGTGATGAAAGAAAAACTAATGCACAAACGTCTTTTTCGCATCAGCACTGCTCGGAGCTTGCGCTGGTTGGTGCTCCAAGTGGTAGCCTGAGTGGAGGGTCAAAAGGTCCGGAGAGCAAGGTATCCATGCGGGGGGAAGGAATGTAGAAATGTAAGATGAGAAAAACTGACGGACAGTATAGAAACTTCACAAGTTGTTGTTCCGACGAGCAAAGCTAGCAGCATCCAGCCGTGTTGTGGCACCGAGGAGCGCGGCGAGGAGTCTCTAGTTGTTGCCAGAAAGCACACAGGCCCTGGCAGGTGGATTGGTGCTGACCGCAGGGCGAACTCAAACATGGAACTGAACCACAGGTGACCAAAACGGCTGGATCGAAGCAAAGTCGTAAACAACTCGTGGCAGGTCACAATCATGGCAGCCGGTTAAGGTCTTCAAACACTCTGTTGGAAGGTGCTGGTACATTTTCTTGGATCTCTCAAGTCACGAAGATTGGCGAATTGCCTGTTCTGCCCGCCGACCAGAGGGAAGTTTGGGGGCGTGCGTGAGAGGAAAGCAAAAAACTATCACTCGGTGGGAGCCTAAGACGCTGCAAGGCACTCGGTGGGACCCTAAGTCACGTGAACCGTTCGGGTTCGCCTTTCTTCCCCCCCCAAAAAACACGGTGTATCGGAGTTTGCTATCGTCAGTTGATCTATTTGGAACTCGATCAGGTACATCTACTATGGCACCGTGGCCTAACGCGCCAAAGCTTTGCGTGGCATCCGGCGGCTCATAGGAGGTGTCACACCCGTGCTGGATTCGGGCCACGCAGAAGATATTGAATATAGGCTTGCCATGGGCAAATACACCCCCGAAAACTCATGTGGACCTGAAAGACTGCTTTCCTGTAGCTGCACCAGTGGTTTTCAGGATCCATGTTAGTTTTCGTTTCCTCGCGTCAGAGTATTCTGTTCATTGATCTCAAGTCTACAGATCTGTTGTTCTGGGGGATGTAGTCACTGCAGTCAATGTGAAAGTCGTCCGGACACAACCAGTGTTAAGAACAGTTGTTGCAGACCAGCGTGCTAACAGTCCCCGAAGCATCTACGCGGACTCTATATATGTTGTTTCTTGTCACCCCTGTGTCGGCTTTTTTCACAGCCATGACCTCCTACTCCCTGGCCATCGAGGAGCTCTCGCAGGCAAGCCCAAGATCGACGTTTCAAGGCACCAGGTCACTGCTTCGCCGGGGTCATACCTGGTGGGCGCTTACGGAGAGACATGTGTGGCTTCACAGTGTCAAACCAAGTGGACCACTAGGTGCAAAAAATGATTTCCCTTCTCCCTCCTCACCAACTAGATGCTCATCACCCAAAACGCCCAATGGCTCAGTGAATCCGTCCACATCGGCCAGGCCCCCACGCCAAGGCACAGCAGAAAATGCAGTGAAAGGCCGGGGTTGAGGCCGGGAATAGGACCGCTTCTGTGGATCTGGACGCCGCGCCTGTGCAAAGATCGGTCCGTTGAAAGACCGCGGGGTCTGCCAGAAAAAAGGTTTTGGAGCTTCTCATCATGGACTCTTGCCCTGGGTGTGTCTATCCCGAATTTTACGGCCGTCTCGAAGTCAATCAGGTGGGCGGAACCCTATGGACTCAGAGAGATGAAGTGTTTCGTTTTAAGGCCTCAAAAGAAGCAGAAGAAAAAACCTATAGACAAAGTCGCGAAAGAAGAGAAGAAAAGCAGACCTTCTTTAGAGGTGGTGGTCGTGGCATACCGGCGAAATGCTCGAAAAAAGACCGAAGACTCGGTGGACCTGCTACCGACGGTGGACCCGTGCCCGACCGCAAGGACTCATGGAAGTGGATGACATGCCCACCAATTGGAAGACGACTTTCCTTGACCAACAGGGGGTTTTCATGGGGGTTCAACTTCCATGTTAGCACCTGTGGCGCAGGCACCAGGGGTGGCGCAGGCGCAACGGATGGCACGGGCACAACACCCATTGGCCTGGATACGCCAAGGCTGTGGGAAGGGTGCGAACGGCCGACTCTGGCAAGACGGGTGGAGTTGTTTGGGAAATGAAACAACTGCTTGAGCCTTCCAAATCGGCTCGAGAGTCAGACACCGCTGCGCGCCACGTGTCGATTCACGCATGTGATTATATGAGACTTCTGAGGCAAGAGGAGGTGTAGAACAACAAGCAAGAGCTGCTGTGCATCATGCAAGCTCAATGCTAAAATCGCATGTAGAAACCTGTTATGACAAGGCTTGTGTAATCCGAGATCCCGTTTCAACATCATGTTTGCTTTCATGCATGTTACTAATGGCACAGTTTTGTTTAAGGATTTTTTCCGTTTTTTTTTGGGATTTTTTTTCTGGTCCTGTTGTGGGCGCCTTCCCTCAGGCTCGTGTCTCCAAAATGATAGTTGTTTCTCCGCAAGCTGGCCACCTGCAAGTGCTCACCTTCTTTCCTTCCTTTCTTGCTGCCTTCTTTCCTTCCCTTCCCTTCCTTCCTTCCTTCCCTTCCTTTCTTCCTTCCTGCATCACATAAGCAAAGCAAGGATAGCGAACAGCCACAAAAGCAAAAAGCAACAAAAGCCAACAGAAGCCTTCGAAAGTCAACACAAGTCACCAAAAGCCAACAGAAGCCAGCAAAAACCAACAGAAGCGAGCAACAGCTACCAGAAGCCACTAAAAGCCACCAGAAGCCAACAAAAGCCACCAGAAGCCACCAAAATCCCACAGAAGCCAACAAGCCACCAAAAGCGAATAAAAGCCACCAGAAGCCAGCAAAAGCCGCCAGAAGCTAGCAAAAGCTACCAGAAGCCACCAGAAGCCAACAAAAGCCAGCAAAAGCCAACAGAAGCTAGCAAAAGCTACCAGAAGCCACCAAAAGCCACCAGAGGCCAACAAAATAGCCACCAGAAGCCAACAAAATAGCCACCAGAAGCCACCAAAAGCCACCAGAAGCCACCAGAAGCCACCAAAATCCAACAGAAGCCAACAAAAGCCACCAAAAGCCAGTAAAAGCCACCGGAAGCCAGCAAAAGCCAACAGAAGCTAGCAAAAGCTACCAGAAGCCACCAGAAGCCAACAGAGATACCTAATGTAGACCTTTGATTTATAAACGCCCCTAGAATAATGTCACTTTTTTTCCTGCACAGATTTATAAAGGCCCCCAGAATAATGTCTTTTTTTTGGGGGGAGGGGTAGTTGTAGTGGGATATTTTTTATTGTTATAGTTTTCTTTTTCCCTTTTGAGTTTGCTGGGATTTGCTTATCTTACAGGCTTTTGGATGGATTTTCTATTAAACAGTTGAAGATTTCCATTGAGATTTGATGCTTTTGGAGGCTTTTGGATGGAGA